AGTTGTTACCACTTGGGGAAACTAAGTGGAACCTGGGAACTCCCTATGCTCTTTTGTTTGCAACATCTTGTAATTCTATAATTATTTCAAAAAAAAGTTTAAAAAATTAAATCTAAAGCTGTCTGAGACAGTGTATGGCAGGAAGGGGCACAATGGAAATAGAGAGACACTAAGAAACTTTTGGTGGTGATGGATATGTTCATTATCTTGATTGTTTTGAAGATTTTTCAGAGGAAAACATATGTCAAGACCAATCAAATTTTACACTTATAAAAGTGCAGTTTATTATTTTCAGTGATAACCTCTATAAAGTCGTTTTGCCTAACTCCTAAACATGATAAGAAATCAAACCAGAAACAGGGAAAAAGTCAATGATAGAAACACACATTTTAAAATATAATTTAATTAACAAGAGACAACATAATTCAGGTACCCATCAGAGATGTGAAGATCCAGGAAATTCATCTATTTGCTGATGGAAGAGGATATTGGTACACCCAATCTGAGGCATTTAACAAAATTAAATGACGTATTTTCTTTTTCTAGGAGATCTCACTACTGTATGTGTGCTTATGTATGGGTATATGTGTAGGTGTAGGTATAGCTACATGTGTGTCAACACAAAGAGGCAGATATGTGAAACGTATATCATGGATAATTTTGTTTGCTACATATTACCATGGCAAGCTCAAGGTTTGTCATTGAACTGTATGTTGTGGTAGTGTTAGTGATACCTGAGGCTGGAGACAAACAAATATCTGCCAGTGAAGAATAGATCCATGAAATTTGCTGTATATCATTGACCATAATGAAGAAAGAAGTTTAAAAAAGTCACAACATGGATATATCACAAATAAGTAAAGTAACTTAGAATGCAACAACACAATTTATAGCAAAATAACATAGCAAAACAAATGCACATGTTTTACATTTTCCAGAATATATTGATCTTGCAGGCTATACAGCATGCACAGTAGAATATATGTCAAAGTAGACAAGAATTGGAGTGAGTATTGGACATGATGGAAAGACAGGAAATGTTGAAATGTAATACAGGTAAATATAATGAAAGAGAAGATACTAACAGATGATGACAACTCCCTATGAAATGAGAATGAGAAGTAGGAATAACTAATTCCTCTCCCTGTGGTCAAAAAGAAAAAATAATAGAACAACTGCCCCCGAAATGTAAGGAAACAACACCTTATATGCACAATCTAGTATTATTTTTAGTTCATCTAATCATTTAAATAATGCAATAGGACAGCATTTAAAAATATCTGCATTGTGTCATCCATTTGAAAAGACATGTAGAACTGGAGGAATATGATAATTTGTTGTATAGATAAAATACAGTAATCAATTTCCCTAGATCGTTGTATTAGTAAGGGTACTTCAGAGAAACAGAACCAAAAAGAGATATATAACATATGTAAATATAAAGAGATTTTTTAGGAATTGACTCATGTGACGGTTGGGACTGGCAAGGCAAAAATCTGGGGCAGGCGGCACTGCAAAAGTTGATACTGCAGTCCTCTGAGCACAAAGGTGGAAAACCACAGTAGAATTCTTATATTGCAGCCTGGAGCAGAATTCCTTTTTCTTTGGGGGACCTCAGACTTTACTTTTTAAAGCTTCAACTGTTTGGGTGAGGCTCATCCACATTTTGGAGTGGAATTGGCTGAATTCAGTGTACTGATTAATGTTAATTACATCTTTAAAAATATTCATAGCAACATCTAGACTGACATTGGACCAACCAGCTGGGCACCAAGCCTAGCCAAGTTGAGAGAAAAATGAATAAAGAGGAAAAATAAGACAACCAAAAATAAAAGGTGGGAATGTAATACACAAACAAAGAGATAAATCTAACTCACTTGCTGGTTTTAAATACAAATTGTTTTAGGCAATTAATAAACACCCCTCTTGCATTCTGTTAGGATTTCAAATGCTTTAGGAATAATCAATAAATTGCTTGGCATCTCCTCAGGGAGAGTGTCAGAAGGTGAAAAGAATCTATAAATTGTTGTCATTACGCTATGTTATGAAGCATATTGGGGAGTGAACACAGAGGTTTCATTACAGGTAAACAGAATATCTCATGTTGTGTGATATTATATGAATATCCAGATATTTTTAGTGAAATTTGCAAAGTAACACCTTTATCCTATGGCAAAGCATAGCAAAATAGGATTTCTGATTCACTTCTGTGTACATTCTACTATACATAATGCATGAACAAAATAGTACTGCTCTCTTTTTACTTCAGATTAAATGCTAAAATATTTTCAGAAATACTATTAAGAATATTGTAATATTTATGTTCACACAAACACTTAGATGAATAACAGAAGTTGAAATCGAAAGACAATAAAGCCTGACTAAAGAATAAGGAAAAAAAATATGGATATGGCAGAATTATGAAACTTCAGGTGTTCAGTTTCTAGTCTGATGTCCTTCCAAATCCTTAGTCATTTAGTGGCTCTAGGCTCTTCTTATCTCTTTCTCAAGAATATAGTAACAATTAATACATTAATACAATTTAATTCAATGTATAAATGTGAATTTTTTTCTGGTCTCTTGATGAACAAAAAGGGAATTTCCACCTTACCCTGAGTTGTGAAAAGCAATTTTTGGTGGTTAAGAAACCTTTAAATACCCGGTTTTATGATGATGGTACAGTGGACAACATGTTTAGTTTCCAGTGGAATCTGGAAAAGCGCAGATACAATTTTCTCAAAAAGTAAAGATTTAAAAACTCATAATCTGTTAATCAACACTGATAGCGAACAATGAAAGGTAATTTGATGCATTCCATAGAACTCTAAAGCTGTTGAGAGAAAACCCTTTTATCTTATCTCATCTTACAGGAAGTCAACACTTATCAATGTAATTTGTTTTCTTTAACCTTTCATTGCAGCTAGAGAAGATTTATATTGCTTCTTATTCCCTTGATTTGAAATAGTTTTTCCTGACTGTAGTTCAGTATTTCTGACATAGACAGATATGTACATGGGGACAGGATTGGATATGAGAAACTCACAAAGTGTGAATTTCCTGTAAACACATTTTAATTTAATATTTTTTTAAATTTTATTCTAATTTAATATTTTAAATGCTGTATTTTTCTATTTGTTTTCGTAGAGCTCATTCAGAGACTCTTGACACTATTTTCCTTGTAGCCAGGATCAATTCTATTTTTTTCAAAGGAAAAACAGATACAATTTTTTGAACCCCTAATTCTTTTACCTTAGCTTGACATTCTCATTTTGCTCTGGTCTTATCCTGGTATTTTTTTTAATTAATGGCTTATTAGGAATATTTATAGGCATTTTTACTTCATTATACTTATTTATATCTGCATTAAATATTATATCATAATACAGAAGAGTTTTGTGGCCTTAATGTGCAGACTTAATATCACGGAATCTGTATATATATTTGTGTATTTTATCTTGCCAGTAGGATGTTGTATAATATGATGATTTTAAATATATTTTTTTCTGTACAGAATCTCTTTATCTAAAGAGACTGTTTAGTAAAGTCCATTATATAAGACATATTTCAGTGATCTCACTTTCTCTCAGTTTGCTCAATTTCCTCATACTAGCCTAGATTCCTCCATGAGAAAACATACTTTATTTGTTACAAACAAATTAGTATATGTCACTTATATTGGAAATGCACCTGGGGAGGAAGAAATACATTCAATTTTAGGTAAATTTATATAAACTATTTTAAATAAGGTAGAAGATAAATTATACAGGAAAATAGCACATTGATGTTCCAGTTGTAGTCAGGAACTTGAGTCATACGGGTGGGGTGCACTGGGGACAGTTACCTGGATAACACACTGCTCCACTTATTTATCATACCCCTGGCAAGGAAATTAAGTCACACACAAAAATTTATACGTGCATATGTTAATAATCCATTTCAGGTAACATAATGTCTCCCATTACAAAATAAAAACAAGCACAAAAAATAACCCATATGCATTTGCTATTTGAGTGGTATTTCCAGATACTGTAAACACATTGAAACATTTAATTCTCTCTTATCCTCCAAACAACCCTACTAAGAAACAGTTGATTTTGCTGATGTATGTAGAGATTAAGATAACTTACAACAGTTTCCCAAACTACTCCTTTGTATATATTACAAGTATAGATACAGAGACTATATCCACTTATGTGCACTTCCCTATTTAAAGAGAAATAGTCTTTACTATGATCTTTTAGAATTTCCTTATTTATACAGCTCTGTCCAATATCAGTCCCGTGTTTATTGTTTCATCCTGTACTACTTATAGGCATAACGACTTTCATAGGAATATGCTTCAAAGTAGGGGCTTCTAAATATTTCCAGACATAATTGGAATTTGGATTTTAAAAATTTTATTATGTAATTATCATACATATTATCATATTGCATAATTGTAACTTGGTAAATGTATTGATGTATTTGTCATTATATAAAAGACAAAACTTTAAAAAATACCTATAAACCTAATGCTTAGAGTTTTTAACATTTTGCATTTTCACTCCCTTTACCTATGTTTATATCTATCTACGTCTATATCTCTACATTTATCAGGATTTGCCAGTCTTGGCCCTCTTGGCATCTTGGGCTGAGTGATTCTTTGTTGTAGTAGGCTACACTAATACAGGAGGATAATTAGCAGCATCACTGGACTCGAACCATTATGCCAGTAGCTTACTTCCTCCAGGTGTGGCAACGAAAATGCCTCCAAATATTACCAAGTGCTTTTTGGGGGACAAAGTTTTTCTAATGGAAAACCACAAATCTCTAACTCCAACTCTATCTCTACTTCTGTTTCTATTACTAAATATGTGTGTTTTATTTGTAAGAGGTGGATTATTTTGTTAGAGTCTCAATGGTAAATTTTGGTTTATTTTATTTATAACAACTTTGTATACTAAAAAATTATCACATTATATTACATGAAAGTTACTGACTATACTCACGTCTCTATCCAGAATAGGTTTCCTGATGAACCTGGATGGAAAAATCCAATCTAACAGTGCTGAATGAATTCATTCTCACAGGAATCACAGACCATCCTGAGCTGCAGGCTCCATTATTTGTGCTGTTTCTCATGATCTACATGATCTCAGTGGTGGGCAACTTGGGCATGGTCATCCTCACGAAGATGGACTCCAAGCTACAAACGCCCATGTACTTTTTCCTCAGACACCTGGCTTTCACTGATCTTGGTTATTCAACAACCGTGGGACCCAAAATGTTAGTAAATTTCATTATGGATCAAAATTCAATCTCCTATTATTTTTGTGCTACACAGCTAGCTTTCTTTCTCATGTTTATTAATAGTGAGCTTTTTATTCTGTCAGCAATGTCCTATGACCGCTGTGTGGCCATCTGTGACCCTCTGCTCTACACAGTCATCATGTCACAAAGGGTATGTAGGGTGCTGGTGGCAATGCCATATCTTTACAGCACATTTGCTTCTCTTTTAGTCACCATAAAGATTTTTAATTTGTCCTTCTGTGGCTACAATACTGTCCATCATTTCTACTGTGACTGTCTCCCCTTATTATCTTTGCTCTGCTCAGACACATGGGAAATTGAAATGATTATTCTGATATTAGCAGGTTTTGATTTGATATCCCTTCCAGTAGTACTTGTGTCTTACCTGCTCATTCTCAGAGCCATTCTCAGGATGAATTCTACTGAAGGTAGGCGCAAGGCTTTCTCCACCTGTGGATCCCACCTGACAGTGGTCACAGTGTTCTATGGGACTTTAGCATTTATGTATGTACAGCCCAAGTCCATTCACTCCTTTGACACTGATAAAGTGGCTTCCATATTTTACACACTGGTTATTCCTATGTTAAATCCCTTGATTTATAGCTTGAGGAACACAGATGTTAAATATCCCCTACATAAGGTGTTGAAAAAAATAGGCAATACCTTTTCTTAAAGTGAATGGTCTAAATTATTTTATGACTTTAAACCTGCTTTGTGTGCCTTCAGAGGAAAAAGCAAACACAAATAAGCTCATCATATATTTAGAGATTGCCCTCTATGTTCAAGTCACACCTCTAAGTGCAATAAATACATAGGTGAAGAAAACGGTAAAAATCTTTGCCTTCATCAGGGAGAGGTGAAACATAATAACTGAACAAATTTTAAAGTTCAGTGGAATAGGTTAGGGACTATAGACCATAAGAATAAATGAGTAGAGTGGGTATGCTGCATGAGAGTGAGAAAGAATAGTAGGTAAAGAAGGGAAGTTAACATGACTTTTGTGTTATTCTCAACCTTTAGAATAACTTTTCTAGTGTCTATGTGTGTGTTTGTGCATATGTGTGTGTATGTTTGTGCAAGTAAATTTCTTTTGTTTTAGCTTTCATACTTTTCTATGTGGTGTGTTATGATCAAATTTGATGTGGTTTCAAGGAGGCTCAATGCAGTGTGATGACTTGAAGTCAACAGTCATCTGAATTTACTCAATTATCCCCATTCCTTGTGGGGATCTTAGGGTCCTGTTCTTTTCTCATTGGTGCCATTATTTCACATATGAGCCCTAGAGAGTGTATTAGCACAAGGCACTTGGCATTTCAGCAACTCAGAAGGTCTGCATTGCATCTGATTTTGACTAAATTAGTCCACTTATCATTAACAGTATCTGTATCAATGACAATAAATCTCTTGTGGTCTCCCATAGAAGTTTAATTTTTTTCAAAATTTTCCTTTTTTGACCAGTTTGATCTCGATTCTTAAATCCTTATTATTGTGTAATGGATTGTTACTTTTCCATACTTCTCTGAAAAGCAACAATAATTCCTGTTCAGAAGTCAGGATTTAAATGTTTTTATACCTTTCAATAGAAGATCTACTTTGTGGTGAATTAGATTTGTTGCCTCTCTTTCATGCTTCTGACTTTCTTCGAATTTGGTTCCCATGCGTTTGTATTATATTTGATTAGGACCCATTGTTTGACAGGATTGTTTTGATAATTCACCTTTTATGAAGTAAAATGAGAGAATGCCGTGATTTGGTCTATGCGATATTTCCAGTGAAAGTGTAGTATGATGTGTAATAAATTATATGCATGTTATATCTTCTGGAAAAAAGTCCCCCTTACCCTTAACTCTTCCATGCCTTGTTGTTTAATTTTAGTGTTTTTAACACTCATTGGATTTTATTTACATCATAGAGGGACTGTACTGTTTCTCTGTTGACCATCAAGGAATAAAATTTTCTAGGTAGTCAATTAAATTTGAATAAAATTATTTCATTGGAATAAAAAAATTGTATGTATATTGTCATATAAGGATAAATATTCCTAAAATGATTATATGGTTGATGTTTTTTATTTATTAAGAAAAAATGTATATCTAAGTATGAACTATGCCTATGCATATAAATATAACAAATTATTTTTTTCCTAGAAAATTTAGCTGGAGAGAAATATACTTAAATTAATATTAGATATTAGTGGCTGCAGATATTATTAAAATGTTTCATTTAATATTTTTGCTCACCTTTTATACCCAAAATGTCTTCAGTTATGAGTAATTATGACTTTTATAATAGAAGAATGTAAAAGACTCTACTATGTGTATGTGAAAAAATAAACTGACTAAACCTAGCTCAATATCCCACTACTAAGATGTCTATATGTTCCTTTTGATAGTCTGTCAAAAAAACGAACCAAAGAGAGAACAAATTGTATTGAGATTTACAAATATTGATAATATATTTCAGTCATTTTAAAAGTTGTTCTCTTTTTCATTATTAGGTAGACATATGCTATTTCAGAAAGTTTATATTTTCCATCAAAAATAACTGAAAAATCAGTAATTGTTCCCAACTGAAATTTGTGGTGGAATATTTTGAAGATCAATAAAATTTAATTTATAATACAATAAAACTTTTAAATGATCAATAATAATTAGAATAAGAAAAGTACAAAATAAATTTTACTAACACTTAGATTGTGATTAAAAACTAATCTGTGATTTAGATCAGGATGACAAGATAAGAATGGGTGTATACACACAGTCACATATATATATATTCGTGTTTATGTATGTATACATGCATATATGAAAATATTACATATATACACATATATATTCCTGTATACGGACACTAAGAAACACCACAGAAAAAATTCAAGAATGAAGAGGATTTCAAATGGGAAATTTGTATTAGAAATAATTCCCCTCCAATCCAAAATCACGTCCAAGTAGCTTAGTCAAACCCAGATTTCTTGACTAGGAACTCCGTTTAGGGAAAAAGAAGTAACCAATTATCTATATATTCTTTCAGAAAATTATACAGGAGGTGCATTTTCCAACTTTCTTTATGAGGAGAGCTTTCTCCTGACATCAAAAGCAGACAAATGTGTTGTCAGAAAAGACAACAACATAGTAATGTCAGAGATAAACACATATTCAAAAATTCTAAAAGAAGTTAGCAAGTTGAATCCAGAAATATGTAAAAGCAATAACGGACAATGATCGTTTTACCCATGAAATGTACGGTTGGTTAAACATTAAAATTTAATTCATGTGATTCATCATATTAAGCAACTAAAAAATAAAAACTTATATGATGTCTCAATAGATGCAGAGAAACATTTTAAATTTCCAATTTCCATTAAGGATAAAAACGTTTTCCAAACTAGTCTTAAAATTATGCTTCCTAAAACTGATATAGAACACTGATGAAAAATCTATAGCTAACATTGTACAAAACAGAAAAAGATAAAATACAGTTCCACTAAGATCAGGAAGAAGGCAAGTAGGATTTGTCTTTTTAATTCTATTCAACATTGTACTGAAGGTTGTCTCCAACTCTGTAGGGCAAGCCAAAAAAGTAATATAATGCATCTATATTGGAAAAGTGAAACTGAAATTGTTTTTATTAGTAGATGACATGATTGTGCATATAGAAAATCTAATGGAATCTGTAAAAAATTGAGAAAAAGTGAACTTAATACAGTTTCTGAATGAAAGACCAATATACAAAATGACATGTGTTTCCATTTACTATCAAAGAAAAATGAGAAATAAAATTTTAAAATATCTGTCTTACAAATGCATTAAAATTACAAAATACTTCAAGATAAATCTGAATAAGTATATGGAATCTTGTACTCTAAAACTTAGGAAACACTGGTAAAAGAAACCAAAAAAAGACCCAAATAAGTGAAAGATGTATCATGTTTAATTACTGAAACATCCAATATTGTTAAGACGGCAAATTTCCTTAAAAGTATCAGAGCAACTCCGATCAAAATCTAAGTAGGCGGTTTTTTTTGGTGCAAATAGAGAAACTGAAAAAATATACAATAAGAAATACAAAAGACCCAGAATAGCCGACTCATAAGAAGAAAAACCCTGTACTACAGACAGTAAGAAAACAGTAATCAATTTCTTGTCCTATTCCAGAGCTACAGTTATCAAGACAGTGTGATACTGCCATAAAAATTGACATAGATCAATGTAAAGATATTGATATTCCAGAAATAGACCCATGCATATGATACCTAATTTTCTCTAAAAACAAAGGGAAAAAAGCAATTCAGTGGAGAAAATATAGATTTGTCAAAAAATGGTCTTGGAATAATTGAATATACATGTGGAAAATAATGAACATTCATCCATATCCATTCAAAGATTCACAAAAAATGGATCATAGATGTCAATGTAACAAGTAAAAGTCTAAAAATTCTAAGAGAATACATAGTAAAAAATCTTTGTGACCTTGGGTTATGTAAAGATTTCTTAGAAACAACACCAAAAGCAAAACTATCTGATAAAGTAAAAACTTATTACATTTGAAAACATCAGAATTTAAGTCTTCTGATCTTCAAAATATCATCTAAAGGGATGTAAAGCGAAATTAATTCTGGGAGATAGTATATTCATTAATGTCTCAGATAAAGGAGTTTATTCCAAAATATATACAGGGGTCTCGAAACTAGATAATTTTTTACAAAGTCCCCCAAAATGGGCAAACCCTTTAAAAATCACTTCCCCAAATAAAAGATGAGGATGGCAAATAAACACATAAAATTTTGCTCTGCATCATCGCTCTTTAACGAAATTAGGTTTAAAACATGAATGCGTGGTGAGTATAGTTAACAATCCTGTGTTGTATACTTGAGAGATGCCAGAGAGTAGATCTTAAATGTTCCACCCTCACAACAAAAAGATGGTAATTATGTGAGGTGACAAAAGTGTTAACTAATGTGTCATGGTAATCATGTCACAATATATACATATATCAAGTCACCACATTGTATGCCTTAAATTTCCAGAATGTAATATATCAATTATATTTCAATGAAGATTGAAAAAAAGCTCAATGAGAAAACATTATATACCAGAATATCTAGTTAATGAGTATGTGGGGGAAATTAAACTTTCATACATCACTGATGGAAAAGCAAAATAGTGTAAATATTAAAGAAATCCTTTGGTATAAGCATCACTGTCCTAAAAAAAAATATGCATCTGACATAATATTTATCCATTCCACATCCATGTATTTACCCAAGAAATGACACCATATTTCACTACCAATGCTTGCATGTGAATGTCCATAGCATCTTTATTTGTAATAGCCAAAAACTAGAAGTAACCCAAATGTTTATCCACTTGAGAATGAATAAACAAATTGTGGAATTTCCAAACAAGTGAATACTACTCAGAAATAAAAAGTAATAAGTTATTGTTACACACAAATATATAGATTACTTTCAAAGTAATTATACTGAGTGAAATACATCAGATTAAAAAAAGTGAATAATCTATAATTACATTTACAAAAAATACAAACTAATCTATAATTACACTAAGTAGATCACACTAGAAGTACCAGAAAGTGTAAGAGAAGGAAATAAAAGACATATAGCTTGGAAAGCAAGAAACTAAGTTTTCCCTATTTGTAAATGACGTAATATCT